AGGCAGAGGTGCCACCTGAGCAAAGGCTTGGAGGAATAAGAACCTGGTGGGTGGTTCTGTCTGATGGAGTTCAGGGTTAAGTGGCCAGAGATGAAGGTAGAGAGGCCAGCAAAGGCCCAGTCATGGAAGAACGTGTATGCTGATGAATTTGGTTTTCATCCTTGAGTCAATAGAGATTGAATGATATTAATTGAGTGGACTAATAACTAATTGAATAATATTAAGCAGTGGATCATGTGGTCATTTCTGCATATCAGAAAGATTGCCCTGGAAGAAATATGGAGGTTGAGTTAGAGGAAATGTAGAGGAGGTGATAGATGTGAGAGAGGGGAAGAGGTGAAATCAGAAAGAATGAAGAATTAAGAGCGAGTTCAGGGGGATGCCCAGGTCCGCCAAGGGCACCTGGATGATAGTGGCGCTGTCCACCCGGATGGATGCATGGGGACGTAGGTCATCTCTGGGTGGAGAGGAGATGGCAAATTGACTTTTGGACATATTGAGTGAGGGGTGCATGGGCTATCTCTATCACCATTTCCTTTACTGTCCTGACCACAGCATTTTATAAGTACCTTCATAAATTTATAAATGCTCATCAGGGTCCGTGTGCCCATTCCACCTCCCCACTACTTGTGAACTGCAAGTTTCTTGAGCATAGGGATCCATTTACCCCTCATCTCTGTGGTCCCAGGACCTGGCACAATGACTGGCGCCCAACAATAGGTGCTTAATAAGAGTCCGTTGAATGGTAGGGCGGGTGCCCCCACAGAGGAATGACTTCAGGCTGTTGCCATCACTGAGTCCTCCTTGGAGTCAGATCCCAAACAAGTAGATGAAATCTATCTGTAAAGGAGTAAAGCGGTGCCCTTTCCTTTCACTGCCATTGTGTGGGGGCCCTGCAGTTTGTACCAGGCAGAATGGGAAGCGGCCAGACCTGGGACATGGAGTCGGGTGGCTGAGGAGCCCAGGACAGGACGGGCTGTGGAGCTGGCTTTGTCCAGACCAGGCCTCCTGGGAGTGGGTGCCCATACATGGGCTGCTCATCGCAGGTCGATGGGCAGGTGGGGACACTTGAGGTTGGAGGAAGGTGGAGCAGGATGTGGGCTGAGGGGCCAGGAAAGATGGTCCAGGGGCAAGCTGGCCATGTTGGCCGTACCATCTGGCAGGCCCAAGACCTGCTTGAAGTCAGTTCATCTGCCTTAAAACCAAACAAGGCCATTGTTTCCTCCACCCATCAGCAGGACTGGTGATTCAGCTAATAGATCCTGCATTGTCGTCATCAAGGAGGGGCTGTATTCCATGGGCATCAATCCAAGACTTAGCAGGAAGAGTGAAGGCTGCTGGGCGAGCCTGCGAAGTGTTAGCGTGCATGTCCCAGCCCTCACTCTGATCTGGGGCAAGACCAGCTCCGCTGCCAGAGCCCAGTTTTAGGGCATCTCTGTCTTTATTGTATTGATCCCAGCGCTTGTGTAGGTGCTTAGGGCTTTTAGTGCTTGGCCTCTGCTCTGCGTCCAGGAATCCAAGCTCAAGCTGCTTCGTTGGCATCACAGTGTCTGCACATATCTCACCCACACTCTCCTCTTCGGGGTCCTCACAGCTGCCCTGGGAGTCAGGCTGGTGATGTACATGTCAGCGGACCCATTTCCCAGATGGGAGAACATGCACAAGCCCAAAGGGAGGAAGGGATGCACTCAAGTTGACCCAACCAGTTGGTCTGGGCTGGGACCTGAGTATGAGCTGGCCCTCTCCTCCTGCCACTCACTTCCATGTTCATTCTCCTCTAACCACAATGAACTCCTTGGTATTTGCTTCCTGAGCATATCAAGCTTGCTTCTGTCCCAGGGCCTTGGCCCTGCAGTTTCTCCTTTTGACAGACCCTTTCCCCAGATCTCCGCAGGGCTCACTCCTTCTTGCTTGCATGATTCAACAGCTGCTTAGGAAGCAGAACCTGTATACTCAGTGGGAAGGCAAACAGCGTCACAGAGAGCTTCTGGATTGCACCGCTGGAAGGTGGGATGTGGGGCAGGAAGCAGTGATCTGATCTCCCTGACCGTTCCAGACTCACCACATGCCCCTCTCCACTCGCTGACCTCACTTTAGCTGCACTGGCCTCTGTTTTCCTGGATGTGCCAAGCTTCTTCCTGCCTCGGGGCCCTCACACATTCTGTTTCCTCTGTCTGCAACACTGTTCCATTCTGCTACAGCCTGCCCCACGCACTCACCCCTTGGCCTTCTCTGACTTCCCAGATGGATAGATCATTCTCCGATCCTCCCAAAGCACCAAGTGTGTCTCATTTGTGGGACTTAATCCAGTGGTGATGGTAACAGTTCTGCTGCTCATTTGGTAGCAGTCTCCCACTTAATGACAAGCTGCTTGAGGGCAGGAATTTGTCTGACTTATTCTCTGCTATGCCCAAACACATGGAGCTCAGCTGCATATTAATCTCCTGTTGAGTGAATGAATGGATTCTGGACTAATGAATGAGGTTTATTCGGATACACTGACATTCATAGTGGTGCTGTCCAATAGCAGTTGGATATAGGAGTCAGGCTCATATTTTGGTAGGAGGACAGATTTGAAGTTTGTCATTATGAGTGAATCTAGGAGGTGCTTGTGCAAGGAAAGAGACTTTGGGTAGGGAGGATAATAGGTGGGCTTGGCGCCCCACAGGCTGCCCTTGATTTTACTCTGAACTTCAAAGAATGCGGAATTCAAGCTTCTTGATCCCTTGAAGCAGCTAGAACCATCAGCAGACATTCCTGCCACATTGATAAAGGTCTAAGGTCCAAAAACAAGGGAGGTGACAAACTCCTTTGTTTCCCCTGTCCCCTTCTCACTCTAACCTGGTTCACAGGCAGACAGACCTGGGAACTAGATGAGAAATGCAGAGAGGCCCAAGAGCTTCCTCAGGCGGAAGGGTGGGGGCAGGCAAAGGGCTGGACCTGCTTAGCCTGGAGGTGCTCACCTAGGGTTCATACAGGTACAGGAGGCGAGAGACAGAGCTGGGAAGAACCCCCCCCCACCCCCCCCTCAACCGGCAAGGAGTCTCGGGGAAGTGGACCTCTTGTATGAGGAAGGACTCAGTTCAAAGCCATTTAACAATGAAACTGGTAGGTAGTGAGCTACTCATCCCTAAAGGTTGAATGACTTCGTGGTGGGGCTGCTGTAGGAAGGTTTGAGAGAAAGATGGTAGACAGGACCTAGATGACCTTTAAAGTTAACTCCCCACACTTTATGAGATGTTTTTGCTTTAGGGCAGGAAATCATCGTTAAATATTTGCTCTGCCTGGCTAAGCAATGGAAGGGTAGCTGCCACCTGCCTCAGAGGCAGGCCTGTGAGTTTCCTGAGGAGGGGCAGGAGGATCTTGAAGCTGAGTCACAGACCTGTTGGCTGCAGATCTGGGGCCTCTATCAGTTTGTAGGGGTGACTGTCTGGCTGCTGCCTAGAGCCCCCAAAGGGGCTATTCTTGAATAAGAATCCTTCTCATTGACTCATTTAACTTACAACTTACCTGTAGGCTTGAAATCTTTCAAAATAAAAAGAATTTTAAAAAACATTGAAACTTTGATTCATGTATTTTGGAAAGAGGCTCAGCGTCTGTAGTAATAAATTCTCCCCAGGGAAATTAAATCTGTAGATGGAGCTAAAAATCACTAATCTAAATTAATTAGAGAGATGCATATATAATTCAAATTTTATTATTCTATTTATAAATCAGAAATTCTTTGAAAGCAGATAACCAAATATCTCGTTCATACATATTGTATCAGTATGGGGAGTTTTATTTTTTTATTTTTTTAATTTTAATTTAATTTTTTATTTTTTTAAATATTATTTGTTTATTTGAGAGAGAGCAAGAGATAGCACAAGCAGGGAGGAGAGGGAGAAGCAGACTCCAGCTGAGCAAGGAGCCTGATGTGGGACTTGATCCCAGGACCCTGGGATCATGACCTGAGCCAAAGGCAGACGCTTAACCGACTGAGCCACCCAAGTACCCCTGGGGGAGTTTTATATATTGATTTTTCTTGAAAAGAATCTTGCCTGTATTTAACCCATTAAAATGCAAATGGAATATAATACATGCAAAACATGAGGGCATCTTGTTTTTTTTTTTATTTTAGAAAGACAGAGAGTGTGAGGGGTGGGGGGGCGCGGTCAGAGGGAGAGGGAGAGAGAGACAATCTCAAGCAGGCCCCATGCCCAGCGTGGAGACCAACATGGGGCTCAATCTCACGACCCTGAGACTATGACCTGAGCCGAAACCAAGAGTCAGATGCCTAACCAACTGAGCCACCCAGCTGCCCTGAGGGCATCTTTAGGTTTTATTTTGCTCCCTGCCCCCCCCCCGTATCAATTGTGCCCTTTCATGGTGGGAAAAGAATGAAAAGAACCATTTACATTTATATTTACACCTCACTTCATCCTCCGCAAAATGCTTTCCCATCTGCTGTCCCCACTGTCACTCCCCAGCAGCCCCAGGAAGGAGGGGCTGATCAGGACCTCCACGTGGTGCAGGGGTAAACGGGCCTCAGGAAGGAAAGCGTCTTTGGGGCAGTCGCAGTTGCTTGGTGGCAACAACAAAGGAGCCCATGGCTCCAGCCCCTCTTTTCTGCCTCACTCCCTTCCAGTGGCCACTTTTCTTTTTCTCTTTCCTTCTGATCTGCCTTTCTCTCCTCTTTCTGTCTCTCTGACTTGGTGTCTCTGTTTTTCTCCTTCAGTTTCCCTCTCCCTCATGCTCCAGCCCTGACTGGCAGCAGCTTTGGAGGTTGCCCAAGCTTTGCCTCACTCTGGAAACCTGCCAGCTCCACAGGCATAGCCCCAGGCCCCCACAAGCTCAGTATCTCTGGTGCCATGGTGCAGATGCTAACTGTGGGTGCCGCTCCCAGTCTCCCCATCTGGCCCTAGATAAGATAAGGGTGGGGACCAGCCTTATAAACAGGCCCCAGTCATTCCCCGGGCCCAGGCCCCAGCTGGCTCGGACCACATCAGCCCAGGATCAGCATGGCCGTCCGCCTGTGGGTGGTCGCCCTGGCCGCCCTCCTCATTGTGGACAGAGGTGAGTGGACAGAGCCTGGATTCTCTGTGGCTTGGTGTTGGTAGATGGGCCTGTGGTGGGGGCAGAGACAGGGCCTGGAGCATCCTGTGAGGCCTCGGTTTTCTGCCTATACCTTCTTTCTGTACCTCTCCACTGTGGTGGGAAAAGCCTTGGGCTAGGAGAAAAGAAACCTGGGTTCAAATCCCGACTCTGGCCCCGAATTGCATAAGCCCCTCCTCTCTTGGGGCCTCTGTTTCTCCAGCTGTAGCATAGGAAGTCCTAGTTCAAAGCTGCTCTAAGCAACTTCTCGGCGAGAGATGTGGGAAGCAGCAGGGAGCAGGCCTATCTCTGGAGAGACAGGTAAGTCTGCTGGCTGCCAGGTGGTGGGTGCTGAAGGAAGCCTGGCCTGGGTCCTCTGAGCTCCCGTCTGCTGTGACAGGTGATGCTTGCAGGACTGACAGCAGCTGTGTGAGCCATGGGTAGCCCTTGTCCCGGGCCGGACACATGCTGGAGTGGGGCCTTCTCAAGGCCTGGAGCACCTCTGTGGCCTCACACCGACCACGTATCAGGCATCGTTCTGGGCCCTTAAGACGTATCAGTGAGCAAATAGAAAGAGAACTACCCTGATGGAGCTTAAATCCAATGGGGTAGGATGGAAGGGAATAGACAAGATAGGTGCAACGTTAGAAGGTGACAAAGGCTAAAGAAGAATATATTGGGCAAGGTGAACAGAGGGCTGCCACGTTAAATCAGGGGTTCTCTCCTAGAGCAAGGCTTGAAGGGGGCAAGGGAGTGAGCCGTGTGGCTATCTGGGAGGAGAGGGTTCCAGACAGAGGGGACGGGCAAAGGCCCTGAGGCAGGAGCATGGCTGGAGTGTTGGCGGTACGGTGAGGAGGCCAGTGTGCCTGGAGGGGAATGAGAGGCAGGGTGCAGAGCAATGGGAGAGGGGATGACAGAGGCAACTGGGAACTATACTGGGTAAGGCCTTGAAGGCCAATATTGAGAACTTGGCTTTCCCTCTGAGTGAAATGGGAGACCCTAAAGAATTTTGAGCAGGGGCGCCTGGGTGGCTCAGTCGTTAAGCGTCTGCCTTCGGCTCAGGTCATGCTCCCGGGGTCCTGGGATCGAGCCCCGCATCGGGCTCCCTGCTCCGCGGGAGGCCTGCTTCTCCCTCTCCCGCTCCCCCTGCTTGTGTTCCCTCTCTCGCTGTGTCTCTCTCTGTCAGATAAATAAAAAATAAAATCTTTAAAAAAAAAAAAAGAATTTTGAGCAGAGTTGTGTGTTAAAAGGATCACTCTAGTTGCTGTGTTGAGAACAGACTAAAGGGAGAGGCAGGAAGACTACTTAGGACCCTTCTAGAAGGCCACTGACCTCATGGCCAGGCCCACTCCCATTTCCCTGGCTGAGGACATAGTCCTAGGGGCTGGGGCAACAGAGAATGGGTCTGGGGGCTCTGGCCCAGCTAACCTGCTTACTCCCCGCTTGGCATCCATTCCCTGAGCAGTTGTCCCATTGGGAACACTGAGGAGGCCTGTCCGGAAGACAGTCCTTGTGCCCATTTCAGGTTCCCGCCTGGGCTGAGCGAGGATGGGGATCAAGGGCAGGCTGAGAGTAAATGCAACCTTTTCCCACATCCTCCAGGAAGAAGCTCTGATGCCACAGGGTTCTGCACTCCGCCTCCCCACAATGCACTTTAGTTGTCAATTCCTGAACACCCACTATGTGGGGGGCATTGCCACATGGGGGCAGAAGCATAGGAGCCCCAAGGAACTCAGGTCCATGAGAGGCAGGAGTGACCCAGTGAGTGGGACAGCCTGTGGCGGTATGAAAGAAGCTGCTATGTTTGTGGCCTGAATGCTTGTGGCCCCAAAATTCATATGCTGAAATCCTAATCCCCAAGGTCATGGTATCGGGAGGTGGGACCTTTGGGAGGTGACTGGGTCATAAGGGTACAGCCCTCATGAACAGGATGAGTGCCCTTATAAAAGAGACCCCACAAAGCTCCATTGCCCCTTCGACCATGTGAGGACATAGTAAGTAGGCACCAGCTCTGAAGCAGGGAGAGGGCCCTCACCAGACACCAAATCTGCCAGCACCATGACCTTAGACTTCCCAGCCTCTGGAACTGTGAGAAATCAAGGTTTGTTGTTTATAAGACACCCAGTTTATGGTCTTTTGTTCTAGCAGCCCAAATGGACAAAAACTGGAGCCTAAATCCAGGTCTGCTCGGGAAACCCTGGGGGACATCAGGGAAGGCTTCACTGGGAAGTAGCATCTGAGCCTTGAAATGAAGATCTAATCAGCAGAAGGGAGATGAGGACGTTTCAGCTAGACGGCAACGCGATAAGCTGAAGCAGAGCCGGCCCTGAAGAATGAGCAGGGAGGAAGAGCAGAGGCACGGGCACATGGCGAGGTGTCCTAGGAAGTGAGTCCAGGAGGAAGTTTTCAATCAGCTCGTGCAGGGCCCTAAACGTAAGATAAAGGAGCTTAGCAATTACAAGGAGCCATGGAAGGCCTTTATATTTTTTTAATGCTTTTTTGTCCCCAACAGTTATGTACCATGAAATAAGCAAATCTTATCGCTCAATGAATTTTGACAACGCATGTACCTGTGTAACCCAAACCTCTATCAAGATACGAAACACTGGGATACCTGGGGCACTCTGGCGGTTAAGCATCTGCCTTCGGCTCAGGTCATGATCCCAGGGTCTGGGATCAAGCCCCACATCGGGCTCCCTGCTCAGCCAGGAGTTTGCTTCTCCCTCTCCCTCTGCCCCTCCTCGTGCTCTCTCTCTCTCTCTCTGACAAATAAATAAATAAAATCTTCAAACAAAACAAAACAAAACAAAACCTTTCTGGGGCACCTGGCTGGCTGTCAGTAGAACATGCAACTTTGATCTCAGGATTGTGAGTTCGAGCCCCATGTTGGGTGTGGAGCCTACTTAAAAATTAAAAACCAAACCAAAACAAAAACGTTTCCAACACCCCAGAAACTTCCCTCATGCTGGTCAATCCCCTCCCTTACCCCACTCTCGAGGAAACCACTGCTTTTTTTCCCCCACCATAAATTAGTTTGGCCTGTTCTAGAATGTCACATAGAAAGCTGTATTTATCCCAGGCTGCCCTTGACCTTGGCCCAAGACGCCCCTTCCATGTAGTATGTTCCTGGGTAGGGGATGCGACCAGGTAAGGCACTCTGTTCTCTGAGAGTAATTTCTAGGAAGGGAGTCACTGTGAGTGGCCAATGACTCCCAGCAGCTGAGGAAATGAGCACCCCAGTCCTGCCTGCGGGTGGGATGTGGGGAGCAGCCCGTGGCATCCACCACTGCCTCCTTCCCTCCCCATCACACGACAGTGATAGAGCTGTGAAGGGGAGTTAAGATCATGTGTTCTCAATGCCTGGTACATACTAACTGAATTATCTTATTATATGGGATATAACAATCCCAGTGTGATCTAATAAGATCAGGCTGGACTGTCACCTCCCTAACTCTAGATTTTGTGTCTCTGTTCTAGCAACCCAAAGTCACATCAGCTTTCTGAGATTCCCCACGGTCCGGTGATTCAATACCTCAATACCTCTCAGAATTCCAGACTGGGCAGTAGCTGGAACAGGTCTCCTGAAACAGCCCTCAGATGCCAGACCTGCGCCTAGAGCCGCCATCACCTAACTCTTGCGTTTTTGCCTTTCAGAAGTGCCAGTGTCGGCAGCAAAACTCATCTCCCCAAGGATGGTAAGGCAGCTGCTTCCAGTTTGGGCCCCAGGGTGCTGTCCTGGCCTTCCTTCTGGATCCATGCTAGGAAACCAGCATTTGTGTTCTGTATACTCCCGCTCAAATAACTGATGGCTCCAACGTGGCTAGGGTGGCCTTGTGAGCCTGCATGCTCCCCAGGTTAGCCCTTCCAGGCTGAGTTGGCCCAGCCCCTTTGCCAAGGTCTCACACTTGGCTTCCAGGACCTCGAGAGGTCTGCCCCAACCTGGTCTCCAGTGAAATCCCCTGCCCAGGCTCAGCAGGACTGAGAGCACTCTCTGCTTTGTGTAGTAAAGATGGACAGGCCACTGGGTTCGGGCCAGAGGTACCCTGGCCCCCCTGGTGTGTGCCAGCCTTCCCCAACCGCACCCCATCGTTCATCTATCCTTTCACTCTGGAGGACAGACACCAAGTTGTCCATGAACCCTGGTTCCACCTTGGCCCTGGGTCTGATGTCCCCAGGGATCCCAAGGCAGTGGTGCTGGCCTTCCTGAGACCCTCAACCCAGCCTTCACCGAGGTGCGCAAGGAGGCTCAAAGCCACCTTCCCATCTAGTAGCCTAGCATCTTCACTGTCAGCCCGTCAGATCCAGGCCTATTATTGTGCCAGAGAGCCAAGTACTTCCACATACATGATTTCAATTAACCCTACGTGAGAAGAACACTGTTATTCATTTACAGTGTTTGCAGAGGAGGAAACTGAGGCTCCAAGAGTGGAGACGGCTCTCACAACTTCACACAGCTCATCAGTGCAGAAGTCAGGCTCTCGGTCTTGTGACCGCCGCCCCAGGCCGCCTCTTGCACCCCATCCTGTTCCACGTTCCGATCCCGGTCCTGGCCCAGCTTCCACCCTGTCCTCAGGCCTGCCCTGAAGACTCTTTCAGACTAGCCTCATTTAGGACCCAAACCTTGTTCCATTTCTCCAGCCTTCCCGTACCAGGGGCCTGACGGGTCCTGTCAGCCAGGGTGAGTGGAGGAGCCCTCAGTGAGGAGGGGCCCCCTGGGAATGCTGGTGGTTCTGTCTCCTGGGGTCCTCATGGGGACCAGCAGCAGAGGTTCTAGGGAGACCCTCTGAAAAGTGTGTGAACCCATCCTAGGAGCTTGAGGGCATAAACTCACCCGACACACAGACACAGACGTATACTTGGATGCCCGCAGACTTGGGTTCAGCAGACAGATACACACTTGTGTACACAGCCACAAACATACCACGGGGCCCTGAGTAGTTAGTTTCATGCCCACTGGACTAACACTGGGACCTTCTAGAATCTGGCTCTTCCCTGGGGCCCTTGACTCCAAGCAAAGTCCCTGGGTCCCTCCTCGCTGCATCTGAATCTGAGTGCCCTCCCCCCTTCCTCTCTTTCACAGCCCATCTGTGAGCACATGGCGGAGTCTCCTGTCTGTTCCCAGACATCCAACCTGGTCTGTGGCACTGATGGTGTGACGTATAACAGTGAATGTCAGATCTGCTTGATCCGGCTGTAAGTCCACCCCACTCCTTCCCCTCAGCTTGCTTGGGTGGGCCCCACCTCTGGTATGTTCAAGTGTGAAAGGAGCAAGACTTGACCTGCCTCTTCCTTCACACACCTTGGACTGAGAAGAGTCCTCCAGCATTGGCCCTAACAGAATGAGCACAAGTATATTTCAAAGAAGGCACATGGTTCCAAGTACAAAGCCACAACTAGTAGGGGGTTGGGGAGGGTGCAGAAACCCTGGGTTCTTTCCCTCGTTCTGCCCCTGACCGACTAGGTGACTTCATTTGTTCGTTTATTCCTCCTGCCAGCAATTATTTATTGAGCATCTACCATACGTTAGGCACTGGGAAACAACAGGGCATAAGCTAGACAGCATCCCTGGCCTTCTGGGGGCATATGGTAGTTTAAGGAGGAAGCCAAGCTAATGGTCCACCAACTGTAGCATAGAATGCTCAAGGCTCAGATGGGGGCACCCAGGGTTCTGTGAGTGCAGGGCAAGGACAAGGGCAGGGAAGACTTTCCAGCTGAGCTCTGAAAGATAAGTTGAAATTAGCTTGGAAAAAAAAGGAAGGAAAGGTAATTCCAAGTAGTGAAATGAGTTTGGAAAGGTCTAAAAGGGAAAGAAATGTTTGTATTTGAGAAAATATAAGAAATTAGATACACCGGAATATAAAGTTTAAAGACTGAGTGGGGAAAGGCAAGAAACGAGTCTTGAGAGGTGAGAAGGGCCAGAACGTGACCTTGGTACGTCTGATCACCTATTCGATCTCCTTTCTTCATTAATAAAACCCTTGGGCTGGGCCAGAGCTAAGTGAGATCATGGAAGAGAAGACAGTCTTCAGAAGCTACAGCACCCTGGACAGAGAGGCAGGAGAGCAACAGGACACTTTCCTAACTTAGCTGGGAGGCAGTGGGGGTCTAGGTGGTTTGTGGGGCAATGATGTCTGGTGGAGGTGTGGCTAGAGTTCAAGACAGAGTCAGGGCTGGAGACAGATTCAGCAGCCATCAGACAACATCAGACAACCCGGGAAGCTCAGATCACCCAGGGGAGGGTGTGCAAGAGGGAAAAGCTATAGAAGGTGTGCCCAGGGACCCCCAGGACTTGCCCTGTATCTATAGTGGGTGGGGGAGGTAGGGAGAGCTCAGCAGGGTGTCTGGAATAGACTGGGCCAGGCAGGGTCCCTGAAGGGTTTGTTCCAGTCCCTGATAAGATGGGCCTCATCTTTGTCTCCTGTGATCCTAGGAAAACCAAAGAGGACATCCAGATCCTGAAGGATGGCAAATGCTGACCCCCATAGCAGCCTCTTAAGTCATGAAGCTTCAGGCTAGAAAACAGTTTTGGAAGTGGAGGATGTGACATGAATAAAAGATCCAGCCCAATTCAGCCAAGTGAGCCAGTGTCTTTGGGGACTCTGGTGAGGTGGCTGGTGGTGGGTAGATGTGGTGGGGACTTTGTCCTGACCTCCCTACTTTGAATCTGATGTCTTGTCCATCGCTCCAGTGCTCCTCAACCCTGTCACATGCTCCCCTAGAGGTCCTAGGTCTCTTCTGCTTCTTGAAGAGGTCAGCCCCTGTCCCCAGCACACTTGTCTGCCCCAGCCTGTTTGTCAAGAACCTAGGTGACCTCTGTACCCTCTGCCATTGTCAGAGAGCAGGACCCAGCCTTTGGGAGAGTCCTACACCCCTCATGGCCTTCTCCCTGGGTTGTACCAGCGCCCCAAGTCTTACACACACACACACACACACACACACACACACACACACACTGATACTACTATAGCTAATATTTAGGTAGTGTACATAGTGTATTTGAACTATTTGTTAAAATACTGACCTAGGTCTGTAACAGTTAAAAACAGCTGCCCCAAGCCTTTGAGTGTCCCCCTGCACCTTGGCCACCCACAGCAGGATGACGTCCAGACCCTGCTCTGTTCTTCTAGTCACCATCCATTCGGACTGTTAATGTTGGCATTGGCCACAACCCCAGGCATACACAGCACACATGTGCCTATACAATGGCGCACAAAAACACACAGCATCTAGAAATCCCACCACAGAGGCCCTAACCTATGGTCCATGTCAAATAACCCTCTTTTGGCCAAAGCAAATAGAAGGAGCCACTTGATAACGGTGGCAGAGGAAAAGAGTGTGGAGCGGAGCCTGGCCAGGAGAAGCAGAGCCACATGAACTCAGATTCCCGCTTCAGGGTGGGCAGATAGAGCAGGAAATGTACTGTGGGAAAACACACTGGGAGGAAAGATGGGGCAGGGAAGGCAGGAACCAGCATTCCCCAGACAACTGAACCGTGGATGTGGGCAGGAATTGTTGCTGATAGATCTCCAGGTGGAAGGTCATCTATGGGCCCTACTACCTACTGCTACTGGTAACAGAAACTTTTACTCCTCTCCTGCATGGGAGTGATGCAGTATTAAGTATGGTGGTGAGAAACCCAAATGCCAAAATAACAGTGGCTGAAACAGTTCTTTCTCCCACACAGAGACCTATGCAGCACGCTAACTTCATGCTCTTTTTATATTGTAACCCTGCTGTCCTCATCAGTTTCCCCTTCAATGTACAAGACAGCTGCTCTAACTGCAGCCATCATGTCTACATTCCAGTCCGCAGACAGGTAAAGAAGGGCACTCGACTTTGCCTCTGAAGATGCTTCCCATAAGATGTACATACTCTGTTTACATCCCATTGCCTAAAATGTAGTCTCTTGGCCATGCTAGCACAAGGAGACTGGGAAAATTGTTATCTGGTTGGCCATGTGTTAAGCTGAAAATTAGTTCACTTATAGGAAGAGAGTGAATATTGGTGATCTCTAAGCCTCTGTCCGAAGTGGGAAGCCCCTCTTACACACAGGTGGCATAGCTTCAGCCAAGCTTCCTGTCGGTGACACTCCCCTCCCAGGCTTCCACCCATGATGAGGAATCCCAAAGATTACACCTGAACAATGTGCCAGGCGCCAGGCACCACTGTAAGAAATACTTAATTCCCCACGTTACAGATGTGGAAACTTGGCCCTGTCTCTGGAAACATAACTGTGGGCCCCTAAAGGCCCTATCTATGGCACATGACCCTGCTGCCCTGGCCATTACTGATCAGCCAAAAAATTCTCCCCAGGATTTTTTGAATCGCAAACAAGGAAACAAGCAGTTCCTCTCTGGTAGTGAAGCTGCAAGATGTGTGAAGTGGGGACTGACAGCCATGTTTCCTACTTTGTGGAAGAAGCAGGATTGAGAGAATGATGCCAGCATACAAAGAAAGAGATGCAGAGAGCGATTCAAGGCTGTGTTTGAATTCCTGAAGCCCAGCTGCCCTCGAACATCCCAAGGCTACATGGGATAACTTGACATCCTGCCAATAAATTTTCTTTCTTTCTTTCCTTTTTTTAAAAAAAGATTTATTTATTTTAGAGAGAGAGTGTGTGCAAGCGGGGGGAGGGGCAGAGGGAGAGAGAATCTCAAGCAGACTCCCTGATGAGTACAGAGTCTCATGCAGGGCTCAATCTCACGACCCTGAGATCATGACCTGAGCCAAAACCAAGAGTTGGATGCTTCACTGACTGAGCCACCCAGGCACCCCAATAAATTTTCTATTTCAACAATCTCTTTGGAATTCGGTTTCTGGTGATTTCAGTTAAAAGAGCTCTGACTACCAAAGGAAGAAGGGCATCTCAGAGAAGATAACCTTAATGCTGAGTCTTAAAGGATAAGTAGAAATCGTTGACTAAACAATGTGTGGGAGAATTCTTCCAGCCCTGTGAGGCTGAAGGATGTTTACAGAATCACAGAGTCCCATCGGCTCCCCTTATAGTAGGACTGGCCATGTCCCAGGAAAGTGGGCAGCGAGGAGTGTTCTCTCCCTGTTCACAGGCAGGGACACCCCGTGGATGTGCAGATCTGGGGGGGGGACGGGGGGGTTGTGCACACATGCCCAGTTGCCCGCGCTGTAGGGCCTCTCTTCTCCACCCTCAAATCAAACAATGGTTGTTGATGCTGTAAATTCCAGTGCTGACGGAGTGCAGCTGTGGGAATTTCATTGTAGATGTGTGCGACTGACATTCATTCATTCTCCAAATATTTATTGAGCATCTATTATAAATAGACAATGCGCTTGAAATATGCTGTTACAAGACAAAGAAGCCCCTTAACCCAAGAAATTTAGAGTCTAGGGTTAGAGGTAAATATTAATCAAATAATCCCACAAATCACTCATGGCTTATCATGCTATTTATCATAAAGAAAAGTTATGGCAAATTGTGAAAGGATATCACCTGGGGGGGGGTTTGATGTGTTCTCTGACAGTAGATAAGGTTTCTCCATGAAGAGACATTTGAGTTAAGTTCAAGGGATGAACAGGAGTTACTACCTAGGAAGGGGGTGGGTTAGGGGTTGGGGAGAGATGGTGAGGAGCTGTCCAAACAGAGGAACAGCATATGCAGAGACCCGAAGCAGGAGAAGGCACAGAGCATCTGGAATCCCAGCATGCGGAACAGCACACAGCAAACAGGCCAGTGGCCGGGGATGAAAGAGAGAGCACTGAAGGAAAGGACTCTCTGGCCTTTATGCTCAGGCGACTGACATGCTAAGACCTGCACTTTATGACCACCCCACCTGCTCTGTAGAGAAACTGCTCTGCAGAAGGCCAGATGGGAAGTGGAGACCAACAAGGGGGAGGGAGACGGATGAGAGCGAGCGAGCCCATGCTGTGGGGAAGCAGTTAAGTGAAGAGTGTGGGCTCTGAATCAAACCACCTAGCTTTGTATCCTGGCTTTGCCACTTAGGACCTTGAGAAATTACCCAAGCTCCCTGCTTCCTCACCTCTAACATGGGGACAGTATCTGTCTGTCTCCTAGAATGTCTGAGGATTAAATGACTAACACACCTGAAGAACTCAGAACAGTACCCGGCACACAGGGACTTCTCATTACATGTTTTGGCCCAACACCACACAGCTACCATACAAAAACGATCACATAAATACTGAACTGCTGATTCAAGTGGGAAGTGGGCCGGGCTAGGCTGAGCCTCATCCACGTGTCCACCCCTGTCCTAGGTCACACCCACATGGGCCTAAATTCCTGGGGCTTCAGTGACTCCCTCTCTGCCAAATAAGGTCGGCCTCAGAGTGGCCTATTGGAAGCCTGTCTCCTGGGCACTGTGTGAAAAAATGGGGTGACAGCAGTTGACCCGGTTACGAGTTCTAGCATACAGGGCCACTCTTGACTGTATTCAACACCAATTACAGCTAGAACCACGGAAGGCTTTTGCTTCTCATATTTCATCAAAAAAAGTTGAAACATTCTTTTGCTTGCGGACGTATACATAAACTGCTTTTTTAAAAAAATAACAGTGGAGGGGGCCACAAAACAAATAGGAACAGCCTTGAAGGAAACACTGACCTCAGAAGGGTACAATGAACAGAAATGCCTTTGAGGAATGCCTTAGAAGTTTATGGTTGCCTTCACCACCCACCTCCCTGTGGTTCCCCTCTCTGTCCCCCCAAGCTGTACTTGTGACCTGCTTTCAAGCAGAGATTCAGTCATCACTAGGTTCTAACCTTCTAAAGATTTACTTGAGGACAAGGAAGTCCACGCATCAATACGAGCCCCACCCCAGGAATGGGCCTCTGAGATCTCATGGCCTGTGGCTGGGCAGGGTCACTGGGAGGTGAGGGCAGGGTCTGTGAACCAATCACCCAGCCACCTGTTCCAGAATTCGGTTACAACGAGGGATACTTGGACTACCCTGTGTGCCAAACACCTGTTCTGAGCCACTCCCAACATTCCTGACTAGCTGTAACCTCTTGGTGATTCTGGGTTACACTGACAGGCTACAGAATCACAAGAGCAAAAAGGCCTCATGAATCTGAAGACAGGGGTGGCCTACAAACCCAGAATTACTCCAACATTAATGAGAGGTCTCACCAGCCCAAGGGAAACACCCCAAGGTCGAAAGAGCTGGGAAGATGGGCAGGGGAGGCCCCCTCCAGACAGGGCGGGCTGCTGGACGGCACAGCCACACGGAGACGGAATGAGAACAGACAGGAGCTCCACTGCGGGCTGCAGACAATACTTGTTCACTGAGAACAGGGGGAGTGCAGGAAAACTGGCAAGTGGCCAATTGTCCCCAGCAGCCCTGGAGGAATCAGGTCACTTCAGTCCCAGAGAGGGCAGAGCTTGGGGGCGCTGTTCTTCAGGGCAGCCCCACCTCTCTCCGCCTCACCTCACTCGGCCAGGGCCAAGTTCGTGGACTGTAGCCGCTCTGTCTCCTGGCAGATGTTC